ACCCCTCACATATCATATATACCCCTCACATATCATATATACCCCTCACATATCATATATACCCCTCACATATCATATACACCCCTCACATATCATATATACCCCTCACATATCATATATATCATATATTGGGAGCTACCTTACAATTGGTACAGGTGGACGCCATTTTCAATTTTACGTCGCTGCTGTCTCAGTGCAGTGACGGTTCTGGCTGATAACGTGCTGACGTCATGCGCTAGGCGAGGTGCTGCATGCATGTAAGTGCTGCGTTTCCTTCTCTCACCTTTTCACAAGAAGCACCTTCCTGTGGAGGCTCCAGCTTCGGAGACGCTGCGTGGATCATCCTATCTCAGGTTTAGTTCCACTCAGGGCCGGATTTACTCCCCCTGCCGCCCCAAGGCCAGGTTCCACAATACGCGCCCCCCGCGCCGCCAACTCCCCCTCCCCATCTTTTCACTCACCTCATAGTTCTAGCCGACCTGTGACAATGAGACTGTCACAGGTCGGCTCAGTAGATCGGGAGGTGAGAGAACACATAGCGGCGCTCGCTCACCTCTCGATCCTGTCACAGCTCTATGCCGTGACAGGGGGAGGGGCTGGACTCCCCCCTCCCCGCTCCGATCCTCCAGCGCTGACTGGCGGAACGGACGGGGCCGGGCACAGCTGCCTCTAGATAGGCAGAGCCAGCTGTCAGTCACGCAGCTGGGCGGATCCCGGCACAATTGTCGGGATCCGCTCCGGCTGCGGCGTCTCAGTATACCGCGAGCTGTAGCTCCCTATATACTGAGCTTAGGGTGACGGGAGGACGCTAGTTTGTGTCCTCCCGTTACCCTAAGGAGAACTATGGGGAAAAGCCCTGACCTCAGAGTTCTCCTTTAAGAGCCTTCATTTCAGCAAGTTCCATACGGCTCAGCGTTACAAGGAGTTCTCGATCCCCCCGCACAGGCCTCGGTGTAAGTTGTCGGGTATAATTGTCCGGCCCTTATTGGCCCGTGACTCAGATTTGTCAGTTCATTTCGGTGCAGGTCAACTCTCTGTAATTTAACTCTTCCATCTCCAGAACAAACCCTGGTGACCTGGAGCTTCTGGATCAAATTATCAGGTGCGTCCGCGGGCGAGCAGCACAGAGGGAACCCGCTGACAGGAAGCAGCCGGAAGGGTCCGAAGGCAAGGTAACAAGGGGGCAATCCAAAGACGTAGTCGAGGGTAATCCGGGGGTCGAGGCGGGCAGCAGAGGGTCAGAGGTGATAGGCGGTCCAAGGTCGGTACACGGGAGGTCAGCAGAGGGTTCAGGAAACAGGCAACAAGGCACATAGGAGGGGAGCTTCGTATGTCACACCATGAGGTGGAATAACTCAGCAATAAGCCAGAGCTCAGGCCAGGTGCATGCGCACCCGCAACCCGGGCACCAGGAGATCTGCCTAGCTGAGGGGAAACCCGTGCCCTGCGCCGTGCCTGTGGTCCCCAAGCAGGGGCATCACCCCCTGCTTCCTGACACAAATGTCTGGAGCACTGTGATTTCTCCTGCAGGCATTTAGGCTTGAGTCTTACATGGGTGGAGTGTCCATTCGTGTACATAGGGCGGTTTGACATCATGCCTGGGACACTGAGGATAAGCTGAAGGAACATTTGATTCACTCATAGTCAGTCAGTGAGTCAGGTTGAAAAAAGACACAAGTCCACTCGCCCTTTAATGGCAGGCGGGGCCGGATTTACTGTCTCTGCTGCCCCAAGGCCAGGTTCCTCAATGCACCCCCCTACCCCCCCCCCCCCCCATGGAGAATGGCAGACCTGCATACAAGTGATCTCGGTGACATCGCCGGGATCACTTGTACAAAACAAGCGGCGGCTTCCCCCGCTGTACATTTAGCCCCGCTTGGCCAAAGCCGGGCTAAATGTAGAACAACAACTACCCGCCCGTGGAATTCCACACCCCTGCTGCCCCAAGGCCGGGCCATGGTTGGCCTTGTGGGAAATCCGGCCCTGGTGGCAGGTGTCTCTATGCATGTGCCCGTTCACCCGTTATCCCTGATACCCCTAGTGCTTGGGACGTGCACCTAACTCAACGCAGCCGAAGCTGGCACGCAGCGGATGAACCCCATTCCATTCACAATATCACAGTATCAGGAGAGGGGACACGGCGGCATACCTTATCCCGCCGGGTGGCTGTCCCCTCCTCCCTCTGCCGGCGTCCATCACCAAGATGGCGGCCGGCAGGTATCAGAATACGGCCGCGCGTGCATACCTTATCCCGCCGGGTGGCTGTCCCCTCCTCCCTCTGCCGGCGTCCATCACCAAGATGGCGGCCGGCAGGTATCAGAATACGGCCGCGCGTGCATACTTTTCCCCATTCTTCATCTAGTAATACAGTAGCACCTCGTAGATGTTCGCAGTCTACCATCCGCTTGAGCAGCAGAGCTTCAAGTCAGCAGCCCTCTGTCTTATTTACTCAGCCCTCCGCTTAGTAGATCGCCTTCCACTTTCGTATTTTGAAGCTGGTTTATGCTGCTGGATCCCTTATTGGTTTGTATCCCAGCAGGATCACTGTCAGGATGCCGCGCACAGGAGCCCCACACCGCGTGCGGGTATCTATACGGGGAGGACCACATCATCGACCACACCAGGCAAGGCTATGAACTTTTCTAGTTTAATAGATATACAAAATCATATAAACGCCAACATCCCCACCGACACCCACAAGCAACATAAATTAGCCAAACTAAAGGTAAACAGAATAACACAGGGCAAGTCAACAAGGGGAGCAGGGCCACGGGAGGGAAGAAGTCAGGGCCCAAAGAGGCTACAGGACTCAGGGCGACAATACTGTGGCAAAATCCCCACTGCAGGGAGGGATTAAATACCCTCCCAGGTAACACCAGGTGGTGCTTAATTGCAGAGCCACCTGCAGGTGAGCCCTGGAGCTGCAGGTCCTGGTTCCAGCGTCACAGCGCCACCTGGAGGTGCACAAGTGCCAGACAGCCACCTACTGACCCAGAGACACCTGCAGGTGAGCACTAGAACTGCAGGATCTGCTCCAGCTCCACAGTGCCACCTGGAGGTGTCCTGGTCCCTGACAATTACCTTGTAGTATAACAGCATCTTATTTAAACCACCTCTTCTGGCATTTCTGCACTT